AAAAAAAAAAGAATATGGACAGAAGAGCTTAAGTTAGAATAACCAAGATAGGACACTGTCTTGGTAGAAATTTTATTCTTCCTGCTCTCCCACTCCCAGGGTGAAAAGGAATAGATAAGAGGGAGACTCTGCCTCTGAAAAAGAGGATGGTCTTATTGTGTGTGTATTTGTATGTATACATGCAGACAATAAAGTTTTGACTGTCTGTAGGTCAGCTGTCCATGGTCACTTTCTCATTTGCTTTTGCTCAGGTTAATGCCCATGCCACACTGGCTGGCAGCATCATCCATTTCTCACGTGAAGTGAGGAGCAGGGAGGAGTCATGCAGTAAGTCAATGGGATGGGGAGGCTGGCTGGTCCTCCCTTTTTCAGAAATGGAGCTTTGTTATTTTCTTTGAAGCATTTTGAATACCCAGAACTCGAACATATATACAGTTAAATACAAACCCAGAAACACTTTTTAAGGAGAAATATCTAGGATTGTTCTAATACCTTCATTTTCAACCATTATACTTCCATTCTCCTTTATTGACACAGATGCTCCAGAATGGGCTATACTTGGTTTGTGCATGTGTTCAAAAACCAAATCAACAATCCATTCAAAATGTAACTCTTCCATTTTAAATGGGCTTAACTAGAAAAGAATATATATTAAATATAAAAAGCACTGTAGTTTGTAATTTAGTTAAATCATTGTACCTTTTTATAGAATTCCCAACTGTTACATGACCTCAGTGCTCTCTGGATTCCTTCAGCCACTCCAAAAGGGCCTTAATTCTGTAACACACCTCAACAGCTGTATGAACCCTCTTGGTCTAAAGTATAAGAGAACACGATTCCAAGAAAAAATAGGGGTGTAGGAGAAGAGAGAAAGGCCAAAGTCTAAAATGCATTAACTGGTTCAGAAAATTGCCAGCACAAATGAGTTAGTATCTTCTTCCAACAGTGAGAGTGGTTTTTCTCTATTTATATTCCTGTATCCTTGTGTGTACAATGTAAGCTTTGTTACGCTGTGTCTGGCGGTGTTCTGCATCCCCTTGCAACAGGCTGTAATTGTAGCAAGTACGTAATGTACCTGGGGGTGAAAAGTTGCTGGAGTCTCCTTTCGGGCAGGATTCTAGCTGGCACAGCCATGATATTTCTCCCTCCCCGTCCTCTTCGGTTTAATGACAGTCTTATGTTTTATTTGTTTCCTCTGATCCGACATGTTTATGTGAGGGCCGTTCTAGAACACATAAAAGTCAGTTGCAGGGTGGTAATTATTGACCATGGTTTTACATAGCACCTCATGTGGTAAGAAGATAAATGTATAATCACCCAGTAATATGAAAAACTGAGACTGAAGGACCAAAGGACTTTGTCATTTTACTCCACCCTCTGTGAGTCAGTGAAATGGATTGAATTATAAACCAGAAACCAGCACTTCAGTTTGATGAAACTCCTGCTGAAGTGGAAAGTGTCACTACATGTTGGCAGTTTATAAAATGTGATGAGCTGCCCTAATCCATTGGAACTGACATGTCCATAATAATAGCAACATTCTTTGTAAATTAAATAGCTCTTAATTTTTTTAAAAACCTGTCAGGATATGCTTATGCAGTGATGCACATGTGATCATAGGCCATTTCCATTGTGTCAAATATGCAGAAAAATATAACCCATTTGGGAATATCTAAAATAGTGCCAGCACCTGGGAATCTAAGGAAACAGATAGAACCTGATCTAAAACTCTGGAGTGATTTTCCACATCTGAAAGAAGTCAGTCTGATGGTGATACATATCACAGGTCTTTGTGCATCAGACCCCCAAGTCAATCAGGGAATTCCCATTGAGTGCCCATGCTATTCCAGGCCTCGTGGAAATGTGGAGCATGGAGAGCGAGGGGTCTTACCTAGTCATTTCCCCTTCTCTGCTCCTCGTTTAACCCTCTTTAATCAGCAACAAGATGCTCTGGGTTCCTTCTTTACCCTCATGTGAGGTGGCCCCTGCTTCCAAGGAGATGACCTTCTCTGGGCCTTGTGCCTTCAATGAGGCTATCCCTGCGAAGGACACAGGAAAAGGTGTGGGTTATGTTGGTGGCTTAGCTAAAAACTAATGTATTTCTAGCATGGTGCTGCATTAACTTTTCTTTTCTTCTTGTAACCATCATGGACCTTAAGAGAAATTTCCTAGGATTAAATTACAGCATATTAACAATTCTTTTGCAAGGTTATTTAATGGCCTGATGATTGGAACAGATAGAGATTGTAACACAAAGTCACCCAAGACAGGCTTAAAATAATTTGATAATGTAGAGAGATTTTATGACATGTCTTACAGATAAACCACGGCCAGAGTCACCTTAAAGTAAGGCTGTATCTTTGATATATCTGCTTATAACCTTAGTAATGATGTGTCTGAAGCAGACAGGATATGGCAAACTGGGAAGCCAGGGGTATAATCAGGGTCTTATTATCAGCAGATCTTACTTAATGGAATGTTACCAAGGTACTTCTGAAAATTGCAAATATAGAGCTTGAAAAACCTGATGGTTGCTGTTTTGTCCATAATATTTGAAGTGAAAACAGCAAATGCACAGTGAAAATCAGTTATTGCATGTAGCTCTGCCCTGAATAAGGGTACCCAACAGAGAAGATAGTTGGGTGGGGGTAAAATCCAGGTTGCACCATGCTCCCTGGGCCATTCACCCTGAGATCAGCTACACATGCCCAGAGAGGGGGCCTTTTTCATATTTTCACAAAGGTGCTATATGGGGTGGCTCTGGCACTGGCACACTTGTATCCCCAAAGCAGATTTTTGAAAGCTGTGTCAGGCCCATGGAAAAGAAGACAGGCCTGACAGCTAAGATGCAGGAAAGGCTGTCTGACTGCTAGTGGCAGGGATTGATTCCAGCTAGGGTCGATGTTCTTTCTCCAAGCAAGCTGGGCACACTTCAGTGATTCCAAGTTACAGGCAAATCTGGGGGTTGTAGAGTGTTGTTACTCCACCCACCTCCTTTTCCTGGAGAATTGTCAAGAACCAAGATTTCCCCAGAGCTAGAATAATTACTGAACAGAGTCAGCCCTGCTGAGAAATTGCAGAGTAAATTTCCCCTGAAGGCTAGTCTCCTGCATCCTGCCACCTGAATTAGGGTTGTAGTTTAAAAGTCTGTTCCAAAAGGACTGCAAAAACATAGAGCTGAGACTTAGAGCTGCTCTCTCACAGTGCGAACACTTTAGCTCATAAGAAATCCAGGTTCCAGTGTTATCACACAACACTTCCATGAAATTAAGTTGGATCTCATTGACTTTGTGGAATGTTCCATGTCTTAATGCAGTCCTCTTTTGTATGTGTGTAATTTGAGAGTGTGACAGCTCAAGAATTACCACATTGCTCGCCTGTACATTTCCTAGCTCAGACACACACACACACCAACCACTGTCAGTACCAGTAAAATTAAATGAGAGAAGCTATCAGGAAATAGAGAAAGAGGCATACAATAGGGACTTTTTTTTTTTTTTTGAAGAGAATGAGACCAGGCAAATAGACTTTAAAATTCTGTTTCTATGACTGCACTACATTTATAAGCTGAAGGCATCAGTAGTTGACATTGCTCATAGAATCCAAGGGAAAATTCTGAAAAGGAAGTATCTATTCTCTTATTACCCAAATGTAAATTATATGTGCTCTTGAAGCATGCCCTTTATTTAATTTTAATGCATTTTAAATTTTAATATGGATTGCTCTACATGAATTACCCTCTTTGTTTTCAGCACCATTAGCACACAAAAATTGAGGAAGGGTTTCTATTTTCTGGCAATTCAAAGTATTTTATGAAGTGTTTCACATAATATTGCATCTTCCATACAGGAAGGACTCAATCTTTGTTGAAACAATTTCAGTGTGATATGTTAGCTATGACTAAAGCGAATAGGTAATGACTTCCTATATTTCCAGCTTAAAAGGATTCTTCTATTGCCATTCACATTTTAAAAAATCTTTGGTTTTCAATAAAACAAGATATAGTTTTACTAGAAATGTTGGCTTCTCTCTCAAAGACTTATGCAATTGAAGAGATTCAAAGTTAATTGTTCTGAGCCAAATTATTTTCTCATCCTGTAAAGACATTCTGTAAGTCTGAATTCTTTTCCATTTGAATAAATCCAGTGATTGAAGAACCTACATTTGATGTATGGGTTATTTAAGTTAGTGGGCTAGAGGAGGAGACAAACGTATTTAAAAAATGGACAGTAAGACAAGAAAAGATTGGTTCATGTTTTGATGTCTTTCTGACTTTGTAAAGGAGAAAAGACAAGTATACTAATAACTGTGATGCAAGTTAGGATACAAAAAATGTCAGGAAATCGCCCCTAACATTGGGACAGAAGTTTGGAAGGCAAGGCCGGAGTAGGATGGAAGACACCATGGAGAAGGTCAAGAAGATGGTATGAACAAAGTCAGAGGGGTAGGGTGGCTTAGAGACATCGGGAGAACACAGCAGCCTCATTTGATCAGAGGAGAAGAGAACATAAAAGGGAACAGTTGGAAGAGCAGGCTGCAGGGCAGGTTGGAACCAGGTTGGACAAGGCCTTGAATCCTGTAGATAGGCCAGGGCAACCTGCTCTGTGTTGTGTAACCAGATGTGCGGTGGGAGGAAGGGCCGCTGATTTGCAGTGTTTGCTGAGTCCGTCCCCAGGTGAGGCCACTGTATGCGGAACGGGGAAGAGATGCTAACATTCAACTTTTGTGAGCTGGAATGAGACCTATGGTTAGGTGTCAGTTGGAGCTGTGAGAGGGGAGGCCACTGCAAAAGCAGAGTAGAAATAGAAAAAGAAAGGGAACAAACAAAAAGGCCAAGACACAGTGAAGCAATGGGGAGGCAGAGCCGGGAGAGGAGATAAACATAAGGAAACGGGAGCTCGAGATGAGCAAGTAGAAGCCAAAGGAGGAAAATGAATACCATGACTAAGAACTACTGCTGAGTTCAGCAATTAAAAGAAATTTGGGCATTTTAAGAGAACAGCTTTAGGAAATTGGTAGTGATAGAAGTCAGAAAATGAGGGATGAAGAATTGAGTCAGTGATCTATGGATTTATATTTATAAGGTCAAAGTCATACAGTTTCGCTATCTAAAGGAAAAACAGTAGAGAATTAAAATAAACATACAAATTAATTCAAAAAGCAAAGTTAAAAATTCTCCAACAAAGATTTTGGTGAATTCTCTGCCACTCAGCTGGTCTGAGATGCTTCAGTGACTTTCACCTCCATTTCTTGAATTTGCCCATTCCAGAGAGCTTCCTCAAGGCTTATCTGTGAGCAGTTAGACATGCTACCTGAGGCAATTTTTGT